TCCACTCACCTCAGCCTCCCAAAGTGCTGGAATTACAGGCTGAGCCACCAAGCCTGGCTGCTTCATCTATATTTACAGCTGCTCCCCATTGCTGGCATTACCACCTGAGCTCCATCAGCCATCGGATCAGCTGCGGCATTAGATTCTCATAGGAGCACAGACCCTATTGTGAACTGCACATGCAAGAGATCTAGGTTGCACGCTCCTTATGAAAATCTAATGCCTGGTGATCTGAGGGAGGGCTCAGGCAGTGATGCTAGTGCTGGGGAATGGCTGCAAATACAGATGAACATTAGCAGTGAGGTTTGACTGCACAGAGACCATAATAAATCAATTGCTTGCAGATTCATATCAAAACCCTATCGGTGAGTGGCAAGTGAGCTGCCAAACTTCAATTGTACGGCTTTGTCTACTGGCAGGTTTTAAGTCAGAATCCAACACTTATTTTAGTCTGCACGTGGCCCACTCATTATTTTATTTACCACTTTCATCATGGCTTTTTTTTTTAAAGTCGGAGTCTCACTCTGTCACCCAGGCTGGAGTGCAGTGGCACGCTCACAGACACTGCAGCCTCGACCTACTAGGTTCAGGTGATCCTTCCACCTCAGCCTTCCAAGTAGCTGGAACTACAGGCATGACCCACCACGCCCAGTTAATTTTTTGATTTATTGTAGAGATGAGGTCTCGCCAAGTTGCCCAAGGATCTCGAACCCTTGAGCTCAGGCTGTCCTCTTACCTCAGTCTCCCAAAGTGCTGAGATTATAGGCGTGAGCCATCACACCTGGCCCATGCCTCATTTTTAAAATGGCGAGTCGTATAATTATTTCATTATGTATTACAGTATAATCATAATAGAAATAAAGTGCACAATAAATGTCATGGACTTGAATCATCCAGAAACAATCCCTCTCCCCTCTAGTTCATGGAAAAATTGTCTTCCACGAAGCCAGTTCCTGAGGCCAAAAAGGTTGGGTATCAGTGTCTTATATAACCTGATGCTTTTTGTGCACATTTGAGATGATTTTTTCTCCTTTAATCAGTTAATAAATGAATAATAGTAGAGTTAAAATTTTATGATATAATTTCTATAATTTTCTTGAATTTCTATTAATATGGTAGCCATATGAATAGATTTTCTTCTTAATTTATGGAATAAATCTAAGCAGGTCACTAATGATCCTAGGTTCAGTTTACTAGTAGCTTATTTAGGTCTTCTGCATCTGTGGTCATGAACTTTTTCAATATCAACTGTCTCTTCTCATAGCATTCTTGCTGGCTGGTACCAAGGTTATAATGGCCCGATAAAATGGGGCAGGGAAGCCTCTCATTTTCTATCCTCTACAGTCATCTGTATAAAATTATGGAT